CTTCTGGCCCTGCTTTGAGCTCTGCTGTTACGAGTACGTAGGCTCCCAGAAGAAGTACGTTGTGAGGTTGAAGATTCAGGGCGAACAATCCCAGTGTTTAACCTCCCCCATCTCCAGCATCTGCAAAAGCTAAAAGCCCTGCCTTATCCAAAGTAAGAAGACGACGACGTGGGGAACGTGGATGGGAGGGGGCCTGGATGCCTTGTCCCTCCAGGTTGGGGAGCCCAAGCCTTGTATATCTCCGTTCCTCTCCGTGTCTGTATCTCAATCAATGGCTCGGTCTTGGTTTCTCTCATTCTCTCTAGGTGAAGATGAAGGGCCAGTACCTGCTGCCGTCGCCTCGAGCACTCCGATCCTAAGATATCAGTAGCGATGAGTGCCATGGTGCTGTAACCAAACAACAATAAAACACATGTCCCAGAGGAGGATGCCCTTGTGTGACCTTTCTAGATTTCCTTGTGGCAAATTGATATAGAACTATCAGGAAGAATTTTCCTCTGTCTCAGTGGCAAAGGGAAACATTTAGTCAGTGAAGTCAAAGGCGGATGTAAGGATGGAAGGCCTTGACTCACATCCGTGTCTGCCACCTCATCCGGGGTCTCCATGGACCTCCAGTCAGTTTCCTGTGGGTGAGAAATCTGGGCCCAGCCGAGATGGGGCCTCTGCTCAGAATTTTACAAGCTGCCATCAAGGTATCGGACAGGGCTATGGTCTCACCTGAGGCTCCTCTTGCAAACTCACTGGTGTGGGGTAGAATTACCTTTCTTGAGGTTGTAGGACTGAGGTCCTCAGCCTCTAGGGACCATCCCTCTCCAAAGGCAATTTTCAATAGGGCTATGACATGCTATGAAAAATGAACTGGCTTTTATCGACCTGAGTACCAGTCAGGTTCTTCCGGGAAGTCTCACATGACCAATAAAGATGGGGCAGAGAGACCTGTTTGATTTTTTTAAATTTGGCTGGTCTTTATACTAAATTCCTCAGAGGTAACATGTTCTTAAGTTCATGATATAGCCCAAGGGAGCTAGGGTGGTGGAGAATTTGTGAAGGGATCCGTGGGTGAAAGGCGAGGGGGGCCAATGGGCACCCTGGTGAGGCTAAGTGAGGCTTCCCACGTTGAGTTGACCAGAATCTGACCAGATGAAAATGGGATTTTTGAACCTGTGATTTGGTGCATATTGCAGCCTTTAGGGGCAGTCTGTCCTAATTCGACTTTGCTCATGGATGCAGACTCACAAGTTTCCAACTGGCATGATGATTCTTCACATCAAAGACCATGCTTGTCTCTTCAGAACAATGAGTTGATGTAAGTGGGCAGTATAGAAACTGGAAACCCAAAATGTGGAGTATAAAGGCATGAAGTGGCTGGCTTCCAATCTTTCACGGGTGGAGGAATATGCTCATAGGATTATGGTACAGGTGTTCACCTAACTGCAATTAGGCATAGCTTATTTTTGTTTTGTTCACTTACAGACTCTTATGTTTGCATGAGACCGGCACATTTTAGTTTCATCCTGTTAGGCACAAAGATGATTTGACTATTGCCTTTGATTTAAAATTATGTATGGCTAAAGAGCTGTGTAAAAGTGTCAAGTTGACAACGGGTGGTCTGTGGTAGTCACATAATTTCATGTCAAGTTGATAAGTAGAGTGGAGGGGTGGAGTTTAGCCTGCCAATCATGTCGCAGCTTGATGACCTCATTTGGAGGCATGACTGAGATAGGTGGCTCGCTGGAGCCCACCCCATCCCCCCACCTCTGCCTCACCTTATTGCTGGTGAGCCACTGGGAGACCTGCCAGAGCCACGTGATGCCACCACTGCCCCGATTGGATCCACAAGACTTTTGACCCAGAGGCCTGTGCTCTCCCTGGACTCTGCATCCGTGGCTGCGTGAGTCTGAAGAGAGACTTACGGACAAGTTTCAGACCTGTGGACTTGAGTTGGACTGGGACATTGGTGTATACTTACTTCTTGTGATAAGCCTCTCTCACACTCACATGCCTGTCACTGG